GTGTCATCAGTCTGATTCTAAGCATTTATTGTTTCATTTAAGCATTTGCATGCTGACCATAACTCAAAAAAAAAAAAAAAAGGAAAGGCCTCTAAAGCGTTACATACCCATCATTATTTGGACATTATTCTTGTCATTTTCATGTTAGAACTATGCTATGCACCTCACTCAGTTTAATTAGTATTTTGGAAATGATCTAGATTTAACACCCTACTAATATTACTAGTCCCATGTAAATGAACCTGTGACTGAAAATATGAGTGGACAACTGACCTTCAAAATATCAATAAAAAAAATCTTCATATCTAATGGAAGAATCTAATGCACTCAAGGTTATGTGAAACTGTAGAAACAGACATTGCAGTACTATACCTTACAACAAATGTCAATTTTTTTTAGCTATATTTTAATTATATTCTTATATTTGATGTTAAAATTGAAAAAGTATATCTTATTAAACACAACACTTGGCTTTGCTATTTTAATAAAAAAAAGTTGTTAAGGAAAAGAAACGCAAAACTACTGATTCTTTTCCTTATGATGTTCAAATGAGTCTTTCATGTTGTATCTTATACTTCATTTTTTAGCATTTTCAGGCAAAAAGAAGATATCAAAACTTAGTAAATAATCAAAGACTTCCTCAGTTTTTCTAAACTGTCATGCTACTTATCTTGTAATAACTGATCTCTTAGGTAGCATAAGCTATTTAATTGCTACTGAAGATTATTTGAATGGAAAAAGAGACAACACTCGCTTACCCTTCAAAAAAGACAAAACTATATTCTTCAAACAGACACACAGACAGATTTTGATCTCTTATACACAGGCACAAGTGCAAAAGCTAATTTTACAAGATGTGATAGGAGCTTCATATCTAAGATTACACCCTGGCCCACCGATTGTACATGCTATACTTAAAATGGCTTAATTTGGAAAGAAATCCTGTTACTGATTAATCCATTCTGTGTAGTCTCTGGCTATTGAAAATAACCAGCTTTTTATTTTATTTGTAAAAAGCAGCTATGCATGCACAATAGCTATATTTTAAAAGGAGTTTTGGAAGGTTCTCAAAGTGCATATGCATGTATCCCCACTGACATGATAGACTGTAATGGCTGAGGTCTGTCATGTCAACCATCTGCATATTAAACAGTCCCTAAGTACACATTGACACAGCAGACCCTAATAGCTCTGAAGCCGTAACAATCTATTGAGTCAATAATACGCATGTTAAAGAGCATCTCATATACTTCCATCAATATCTTTTATCTTTTAGTTAATTTGTTTCTTCTTTTCATATGTATATTCAGGGTTAAGGCTATAAGAACCTTTATCCTTAACATGCTGTCACAGATGTGAAATGTATGATAGAGAAGCACTCAATAGTAGAACCCATCTGAAGCAGGCCATTTCTTTATATGGTTACAGTAATATTGCACAGTCACCATATACTTTCAAGTTTGTAACTGTTCAAGATGGTGCAGGGGAGGGAGCTGGTGGGCTGAAGTGGAGGAATATATTCTCTTCTGGAGGTTCTGATCCAAACCCCACTAAAGTCTACAGAAAGACCCCTGTTAACATTATGGGGTTGAATGAAGGCCAGTGTGGAACTACTTATTTCCTTATAATTAAATGGAGTAGGTCACCAGAGGAGGATGAAACTGTATTTACTGATGGTTTTATCCATGAAAAAACTAAAAAACAAGGAAAAAGGTGTCAAAAATATACCCTACATTTGGTTAAACTGAAATTAAGTCTAATACCACATCTTTAATTCAAGTTTGTATGAACCTAAAAAGGTTTGTACTGCAACAGAAGGAAACTAATATTAACCATAAAAATGGCAACTTGATCTCCATAATAAGCAAGGAGAAAAATATTACTTGCCACTTCTTCATGCTTAAGTTGTGGTAACATAGCTGTCTAGGTCTTATTATAAAATCTTCCCTTCTATTGTATTTCTGAAGTTTCCCTTTTTCTGCTTTCTTTTATAGTAATAGAATAATAACAATAACAGCAATAACAACATCTAGCACTTTACAAGAATGGTATATTTGAAAGGGAAGAATAGATGCAGGGGGGTTACGTGACTTTGTAGGAATGGCAAAAGAAATAGGCTGATTTTTCTCTCACTTCTAGTAAATTTACATGGTACAACTGTAGAGATTTTGGTGGAGTTATTCCTGACTTATATCCATGTAAGCAGAACAAAATTAGATCCAGTTTCTCTACTCCCTTTTCTTTTTCTTCCGTTCAAAGATCATTCTCACAGTCACTCCACATCCTATTCAATGCTGAACCTCACCACATCCTCCCACTGCTCTAAATCTACCTTGGACTTCTTTCTCTCATTAACAAACATGCTAAATGTTAGTGGAATCTGCATATCTCAGCAATTTTCCTGACATGACTCCTGAGGCCCCAGTCCTGAGCAGACAGCTAGGGATGCTTCACAAGGTCAGTGCTTGGTCCAGGGGAAAAGAGCTACAGGGATGGGGTTTGTGTGGTCCAGAGGCAGATCCAGCTTGGGGTGCCGTGGTGCAGTTGAACCCCTCTTTGATTCCTGTTCCGCCCAAACTTTATAACCAACTGCTCAGGAGAGGCAGCAACATTTCTGTTCAGAAAGTGCTGGGGCTCATTATCATCTACTTGATTCCTGGTAATCTCTCTTCACCCCACAGGTGTTAACAACCCTCTCTTTTTTTAATAGTCTTGACGTTCTGCTATTCAAACTATTCTTTCTTTAGCAATGTTGGTGTCTGTTAATAGCTCTCTCCTGTTTCACACCCCTGCAGCTGTTTTTTTGTTCTAGTTGAAAAACTTAACTCAGGTGTAGCAATATTAACTTAGGTGAGCATTAACTCTGGTATGGAAATGATTGACAGCAAAATACTGGATGCCCTGTCAAGATGCTCAAAAAGGCTAGAATGTTTTATGAATCTGAATAAGAGATGTACATTCAGCTATAATGACTACAGGACAAATAAAACAATATATTTTGATTATCTTTATCTATTCTGTTTTTCAAACTTAACATATAAACTAGCAAATTACTACACATTCCAATTAAGTCACATTTGTTTTTGCTTTGATCCTAAACTGAATAATATAGCCCTCTGCCTGAACATATTAGCAAATTTTCTAGTTTCTCTATAACCAGACCAAATGTGTTATATGCAGTGTTGCACCACACTACCCACACCCTCGTTTTCAAAATCCTAAATCCACCCAGGGTGCAGTTTCTTTACTTTATCCCATATACCAGTCCATGTGTATTACAAGACTTGCCAAAGAGTAAGTAATACAACATGCAAGGAAGCACTGACCTTCATAATTTTAGTTTCTGTGCTGAATATCTAACAAATAAAATGACAATATCTTGACACAAGATTTGTTTTTAATTAATAAGATGCATCTCATTATCAAAACAAGCTACTGCACAAAGTTTAAATGGGGTGTGCACTGAGGCAGAAAAGGGCAAGTTTTACTCAGGGTTATGTCTAATGTAAGTCACAAAAAGTCCCATTTTATACATTGCCCATTGTCCTGAGCTAAAAAGGTACATAAACCTGTCTTATCCAAGAGGTGATTTCTGGGAAGTATTGTCTCAGACAAAAATAGTTTCTTAGCACATTATGGCAACTCATGATCAAGGGTTGCTGCAGAGCATATTTCTCTTTCAGTAGCTCACGATGTTATTGGACAGGTCCGTTCCTGCTAAGGATATTTGTGCCTCAGTGACTCAGTTGGAAACGTCTCTGCATTATCACAAATAAAAAGATTCATCCTAATCCTTGCTTCAGGAGTGTTAAGAAAAGGGCTCAAGTTTTCCTAGACCCCTCTGCCCCTCACCCCAACACCTTGAAGGCCAGCATCAATGTAGTACTGATAAAGTCATAAACCACATACCAGAGATTTAGGTGGTCTAAAAACTATACATGTGAAGTCTATTACACATCAGGCTCAGCTATCAGCACATAACTAGCCACACAGCCCCTCTACACACTTACCTGGTAACTTATGCCTCAAAAATAATCTCTCTAATATAATAACAGTATATGACTGGGACACACTCCTTCAAGGAAAATTCTCCAAAATAAGGATTTGACATGTATAACCTTTTCCTTAGGCTGGTGAGCACTTACAGGACTTTTCCCAAAAAATGGGGGTGCTGATTTCAGTGGTCTTTTTTGGGGTGAGGACAGTCTATACTTGGGACAGGATATCATACCAATGTGTTTTCTTTTAGAGGACAGTATTTTCCCCAGCTTGAATGTATACTTGGCACATCCACACATGCCCCTAACTGCACCTTACCAAGTGGTACTACACAGTCCTGGTGGCACAAGGGTCATTTTCGACCCTCCTGCACAGTAGCAACGAGCTACTCTGCAGTAGCGGCCGCGCCACGGTTAGTGCCTGCTGATGCTACATTGCTGTAGCATCTTGTGTAGACACGCCCACTATGTGTTGTTTCACTGGGGCAATTGAAATACCAGATTGATCCTAAGCCTATAGATCCATTGGTCTTGATGGATTTTGGACCAGACTTGATATCATTACGAGTGTGATCATGCAATTTGAATATGCAAATAAATTCACTTGTGAGATGTTATCCCCTCACAGTAACGAATTGTGGCTAGTATGACCAGCCCTTTTATTTTCATTGTTAAGCACCTAGAGTTATCTCCAATTTACCAGTGAGCTGATTTACATAGCTGACTTAGTCACATATGTTTGGCTTCTGTACATGCTTATCCAGAGTAAGATTTGGCCTACTAGCTGTGAAAACAGCTTACTTCACATGTGCTGCAAAACCTAGCCAGAACAGGCTGAATAAAGGATGAAGTTTAATCATGGAAATGTTGACCTACAAATAGAGAACAAAATGTTAAACCACATGGTGCAAGGTGCTACACACCCCAGCTCCCAAGGAGGAGAGAGAAGAATTCAACACATTTGGAATGTAAAGCTTTACTGTTTTGTACTTTTTTCCATAGAGCCTGAGATCCGGAGTCACAGTGCTCCCACTTGGTATGACACCCTATCATCCTGTAAACAACAGGACACCCACCACAGAATGCTGCCTAAATGGGCAAGTTTCCATGATGGTGGAGATGTCGCCAGCAGAATGCACACTGGGGTGTCATAACAAGCAGGAGCTGGTGATCAGCAGTGAATCTAAGTCAACAAGACATGTAGAAAATTGAGGACAGGTAAACATAATGCCTTTTTAGCCTGCTTATTTGGAACATTTGATATGATGTACTATAATAACAGTTTGATTTGTTATCTTTAATTACTTTCAAGTCACCTTTAATTTTGAATTTTTTCACCCTTGTGTGTTTCAGACAGAGAGGGCTTCAATTTCAGTGCAGTGCATAGTATCCATTTCTCACTTACAACTGTGGCCATAGTGCAAACAGTTCACCTCGGGGGATGCTGAAAACCTATATTTAAGCTTTATTTTAGTGCATATTTTTGTGAGCTAATAAATATAAGGAAGAGGTTTTACTCATGGTTTTCTTACTTCCAATAGCTTAGTTGTTTTTTTTCTTTAGGTACACTGTGTTTTAGGCAAATGTGGGTATTAGCAGCCAGACAGACCTGCTTGGCTGACATCTGTTTCTTTACAGGATTTATATTTGCCAAGTTGCTGGACAGCAATATCCATTTGGTATTCATGGGAAGTACTTGCAGAACAATAATGACAATAATTGCTTCTGATTCTTGTGTTTACAACACTGCCAAAGTATCATTAGAGCCTTATTTATAGATAATAATGCTTATTAATCACAAGTATTTGAATTTTGGAATGTATTAGATTAATATTCTTTTGTAACATGTTTCTGTACTAATGCTGTGAAAAGCATTTTCTCAGTGCAGCTCACTGGGAATGCTTACTTTAGAAAAGTAAAATAATGTAAATAATTTGCAGGTGATAGATAAAGGTTATGTGCGTACCTCTGCTAGCTGGTGTGAACTATGAACAATGGATATGGCTTCTTAAAATCAGGCCCTGTGGACTGAAATCAGAGATGGCGTCTAAAAAGAAAATACTTTGAAAAGTATGATACGACACATCAGTGTGCTTTTAGAAATCCTTTCACTACTTTCAGTATGAAGCATTTTCTTAATTGTGTATCTTTGAACTCACGCTTTATTAAGACATTCTACATTGTGGACAAGTTTGTACGTGAATACTAGGGTTTGTGGAAACCAGGGAGATTAATAACAGAGGAAATATTATACAAAAATAACTCTTAATTTTGAGTCTTAATAATCCCGGCTTTTATAAACCAGTGTCTGGATTTGACAAAATAACATTCTATAGTGTAAAACGAAGTGATGTTTGCACCAAGCAAAAGTATAATGCTAAATCTAAATATCAGCTGTCATATAGTTATATTCTCCTTTGTGTTTCTGTAGTATGCACAATGCTGAAAAAAGCACCACAGCTACTGCAGTACCAAACTCTCTGATTTTTGGTATGCGGCCAGCTCCATAAATTTGCATTTAAACAAATAAAATCCAGTACAGTGTAGACTGTCTTTTTTTCTGAAATGGTTCTTCAGGCATAACTTAGAGAGGCACTGTCAACTTAAAAATCACATTTCTGGTTATTTTTTTACTGACTATTACTATAACACAATGATTATTCTAATTGAAAGAGCTCAGAGAAACTATCTATATTTGAGTCATATTTACTGTGTATTCCTTATAGCAATCTATGTGTGGCCAGTTTAACCTGCATATTCACTCACTGCCTGTAATGTTTTTCTATATAGCAACAGTGGAGACAAAAATAAATAAAAATAAATATAAAAGGCCAAAAATCAGGAGGAAAACTCATTAAAGTAGCCAAAACAATGTATAACACATTTATTTAATTGACCATATTACAAGCTGAGAATGTTCCTTTAACATGTAAGCACATCACCTATTAATATTTAAGGTTGCTTTGCTAAACATATTTTTTAAAAATGCATATAGGTTTTTCAGAAATTTCAAAGTATTAAATAACTGGTGCTGTACATAACCAATTACTTCGGGAAAAATCAAAGATATTTTTTTCTAAATATTTTATTAGATCTGAGACCAAGCTAAAAAGTTGTGCCCCAGATCTCAACTGTTACTCTCACAAAGTTCATTTCCCAAAGAACTCTTCTGAAACTCAGGGAAGGGGGCAAATTTAGAGGTCTATATCCTGAAATCATTCTAATGAAGTCATTTGAAGCTTTACCATTGACCCACTTCTATCAATAAAAGGGGAAGTTGAATATCATATGATGAATTATAATAGTAGAGTAAGTAACATCTTCTCTTCCTCAGTCCTCTTTCTTGTCCCCCATAGCAAGTGTAAGCTGTTTATTATAATTCAAAATATTTCACTTAGATTACTGGACCTCCTAAAAAGTCTGTGAAGATTTACTTCTTAGTATTTTCAAATTATAGCATGAAAGCAGTGGAATACTAAGATCTTAATTTATGAAGCTAAAATGTTAGCCTTTTAAAGCATAAGCCACTATATAAAACTTCTAGCCTCCCTGTTTTCCTAATATATTTAATTATATAATAAGCATTTCTAGCACTGATATTATCATTTTTCATCAGGCTTTTCGGGATTACTTTTAGCATCCCATTCTGCCCCAACTAAACAGAGAAATTTCAAACTGTCACACATGAAACAGTAGTTTGCCATTTAAATCAATATAGACAATACAGAACCTTTGTGGCTGGGTAGAAATAAGAGCAGTGGCATGCAATGGTTTTACCCAACCGCTTTCATCAGTTTTCCTGCTACTTAATGTTCATTTCCTGTACATTTACTTAGGATAGAAACGTAAATTCCAAATGATAATGCTTTGCCAAAATTGTCAATGAGGGGTACCTACAACCAGGTTCTTAAAACCATATTTAATTCCTTAATTAGAAAAAAGCAGCCTGATTTTCAGAAATTCAGAGCTTCATTAATCCCACTGCAGTCAATGGCATTGGCAGCCAGCCACAAGTGCTCAGCACCTTTAAAACTTTATTTTAGGCAGGTACCTATGCATAGATTCAGGAGGACACAGGGCTGAAAACATCAGCCTTGTGTGCACATAGGACCTTATCTTGTGAACCCTTGCTTGCATAGTGAGAGAGACAACTCTGAGTGAGCGTTTGCAGGCTCAGGTCTCCAAACAGCACGAACAGTAAACTGCAAACCTTCCTGCCTAAGTGAGGCTGCCAAAAACCAAACTTTAAGCTTTGCAGTCATAGAAAATCTAAAGCAACATGGAAAAGTTATAGGTGTTTTGTTCCCTAATGGAATTATTGCTATTGCTGTAGATATAAAGATATTTCAGCCTACAATTAAAAAAGACCTGGCCACACATTGCTATATAATGAGGCTTTTCTTGCTTTATTTTATTTACCATACCTTTCATTGACACAAGATCATGCCTGTGTGTTTAGTTTTGGTCAGTAAGTACTGTGAATTTGGTTTTGTTTTCAAATTGCACAAATACTGTAAATGTATCCTTCCAGTTATATAACGTAACCATTTTCCTTTCTTGTTTTTATATTGTTTATAGCTCCTAAAATGTTGCACTCATAGCCCAACTTCATGGAATTCATAGCTTCACCTGGCTTGATACAAAAGCTTTTTTTACATATTTGAAAAGATTTTTTCGGAATAAGTTATTATGCCACCTTCACAGAACTTTAAGGAAGAAGCAGAAATGATAATAAAAGCAGCCCTCACTATCAGATATTCTATTAAACAAAAGAAGGTAAGTTCATCCTTTTATATATCTAAAATATACAGCCCACTAGGAGTTACTTCATTTCACTACAGGTTAGCTAATGGTATTTTTTTCTTCTGTTGTGGCATCTGACTAATAACAAACTTTAAAATAAAATTAAGGCACAACGATTTGTATGGGAGTATTTCTTTCCTGACAAAATGAATAATTATCCTTCAAACATGATATGAAAGTCATAGTGTTTTAATCCTCTCCCTCTTAAGCACCCCCACCCCATAAGGAAACATCATAAAAGTAATGTAGGTATAAAAATAAAATGTAGATATAAAAATAAAAACAGAAGTTATTTTACAGAAAAGTAACTTGCATAACACAAACATGAGAGGGAATGGAGAAACAGTTTAACAATGGGGAAAATATTTTTTTCTTTCATAACGATTTGGAATTTAAACATCAAGGGCAAGATTCAAAAAAGATTGGACACTTACAAGGAAAGCAAAAATAGAACGCATTTTATAGTTATTAACATGGATTTCTGAAGGCCTTTAGTCAATCTTTAGTCAGACTGTTAGAGGCCTCATGTGGGGACAGCTTACCCCACCTCTAACTACTGGTGCCTCACACCTTTGTCTGGTACTAGGCACTCTAGGAGCCAGACTACTGCTGAGTAAGGTGGGCTTAGGATCTGATCCAGTATGGCAGGTCCAAGATTATTATGATTCTAGTGGAAAATAAAGTGCCTCCCAGAGTATGGCATCCTCTTTTGATCTTGTATTTGTCAGTACCTTGGGTAACACATAAGGTGGAAAAGTCCTCACAGCCATCTGAATCCAATGCTTTTTGGTGCTAGACCCAGCAGAAGCAAGCCTATGTATCTAAATCTTCCAGAAGCCCAACCCATCATTCTTTACCTGGAACTAGTCACTGAAGCCAATGGGAGGTCTGCCTGATTAAAGCAAATGGAGTTGGCCTTCAGGTGTCATTCTGATATAACACCTAAATGAGATCACAATGTGACCCACAATCCTTATTCCAGTACAATGTTCATCCGTTTCAATGAGATAAAGACGGATCCTCAGTTTCAAAATATTACCATATTTATTCACGTACTCCACATCCCAAAAAGGACATGCAGCTGGTTTTGAAAAAGCAGGAGAAAGATATTTTTTCTTTGCAACCAAACTGTTTGGAATTACTTTTTTTGTTTAAGATACATGCCCCAGTTGCTGATTGCTCATTTTAGGGGAAAAGGTGACTGTAGTATGTGAATAAATAAGGTATGTGCTCACTGCAGCAAAGGGTAGCTACACTACAGCAAGGACTGAAGGCCGGATCCTCACTTTGCTCAGACAATGCTCCTGTTGGCTTCCATGTGTCAAGCAAGCAGAATATGGCCCTACATAAGGAATGTATGACTTGATCCTAGGAGAATTAGCTATACATGCTTATTTGTATTGGATCAAACCAAGAATGTGTGGAAGTCAATGAGTGCTAAGCCTGAATGAGAACTGAGGGCCAGATCTTCATCCCTCTAATACAAATGGCAAAAAACCAATAGAGGCCACAATTGGCTCTGAGCTGGAATGCAGGATTTGGCTGTAATACAATCCTGCCAACATACTTTATTGCAATAATTTTAATATCATAGTAAATTTTAAATAATAAAATACCCACCATTACATGTTGTATATTACACAACAGAAGGGTATATCAAGTACAAATTCCTATTCTAAGCCGCATTAATTGTAAAATCAAATAGGATTATTATTGCATTAACTGACTTTGTGTTTCCTATAAATGTCCCTTTGTGATATTGTTTTCAGTAGGTGTAAAAACACACACAAGTATTATGGAGTGTGTCAGTTCATTTCATCTCATTAATCAGCTACTTAAAAATGTTTTCCTTGCAGTGCAATAGAAAATAAAACTAATGTCCTTTTTTATCACTTCACAAATTAAATTCATATTCCACAATGACTATATTTCATGTGCAAAATAACAAAATATGTTTACATACCTGACTTCAGTTCTTTAGTAAATTGCTTCATTGCTAAAAATGTTACATTTAAAATTGAAATCTAAAATGAACTACTTATGTTTTCTTGATGTGAAACATTTTAAGTTCACAGTAATTTTAAATACGATGCATTTAAAATATTAATATTTCACATGTATTATTCACTGACTTCCAGGTTTCATCTCAAGTTAGTGGCACTTCATATTTCAAAGGAAGAATTGTTTCTTTTTTCAATACTAATGTTCTATTAATTCACTTTGTAATATCACTCCATTTCAGACAAATGGAAGTGCACTAAATCACTTATGGCAAGAATCATGCTGAAGTTGTTGACATTATATAAAATTTCATTTTCATTACTTTTTTATACAGTTTTATCTTGGTGGTGTGTTTTTCAGATGTAGTATGTAGCCCTGTTTAGTTAGTTTTAGAAATACAAGTAGGTACATAAGTGTTTATATGCTGAGATGAGGAGGGACCTGGATATTTATAATACAGTCTATAAATTAAGTGAATGCTACAGAGTGAATTATAAACTTCCAGGAAACTACCTTGAAATGTTCTTTGTTTATGTACATAGTAATACCAGTTACAGTTCCTATAGTGAAGCATTAACAAAGTAATTTCGGGTAGTTTTCTCTTCCAGCAGTATATGTGCATAGGCATGTGTATGTATGAGTGTGTGTGTGCGCGTGCATGTGTGCATATATGTATATGTATCATATAGTAAACTGATTGAGAATTTTCCTATAGTGAAGGCCTTAAAGTAAATGGCTTCTTCATCAAGTCCACAGAAATGCAGAACTGCTGGATAAGAAAACAGAACCTATTCCTATTACTCTGTATCATTTTTGTTCGTCACACAAAGCTTACATAACTACTTCTAGAGATATGGATGGAAAATACACCCAGAGATGCTGAAAATCTGTAATAAGTGAAACAGCAAATAATTCTATGAAATGCCCTTCAAGAGTGAGATAATTACAAAGCAGTGGAGCAAGAACAGTAAACAGCAGTGAAATCACTTATAAATAAATGGAGGAAGCCAAAAATATACATGGATATATTTGTCTAGCCAGCTCTTTCTGAATGTCATCAAAATCAAACCTTCCCTTAGGACTGTAAATCTCAGGGAGACCCATTAATATAAATATTTTCAGGATCCTGTGCCTGAAACTTTCAGGTTTGCAACATTATTTTAGTGTAGTAAAGTATGTCCTCCCATATTTGTGTGTGTATATGTCAACACACACACTATATTTATATTTATAGTTATATAGATATAGATATAGGAATAGGTTCTGTTTTCTTATCCATCAATTTTGCATTTCTGTGGAATTGAACAGAAGCCATTTATTTTAAGGCCTTCACTACAGGAAAATTCTCAATCAGTTTACCATATACAGTAATACATACACAGATATACATATACACATATACATAATATGCATATGTGTGTATGCATGCATGTGTGCATACACACCTGTAATATATGTGTGTGTGTGTGTGCATATGTGTATACCTGTTTGATATATATATATAGTGTGTATATATTATATACACACACATATATTATACACACCCAGATATAGCTAATTCCATGTCTATATATAGATATATAGACATAGATGTAGCTATAAACAGGAATTTAACCAATCTGAAATTTAGTTTAAAACTTGATCCAAGACCTTTTTTTCAGTAATATTTAAAATAAATAATGAGGCACCTGACCTATCTCTCTAGCATTTATGAAGATAAGAAAATGATTTGGATGACAGCAAACACCATTAGGCTCCCTGGATCCATAATGTAGAGCAGGCTCCTATTTCTAGAAAGTCTTCCAAGAGCCAGGAGTTTGAAAGATAAGCTGGATCTCAAATGCCCATAAACAGCAGAAGGAAGGAACCTGTCACTGAGACATCCCCAATCCAGTGCTCACTGCTCCTGCCTACCTCCTCTGAAATATTAAAAGAGGCTAAACAAAGCAAGCACACATCAAGATAGAACCAATTAAGGACAGAAAAAAAGGGGGAGGCGGAGGAGAGGAGGGGAGGCAAGGAAAAAAAAAAAAACAAACCCACCAGGGTAGTGAGAAAACTGGGAGTGGGGGAGTATTGTCCCGCACAATGAGACCTACCTTGGGAGTGTTCCCTCTGGGTGACAGTGCCATCCCCTGTCCTAGTTTTGATCCAGTGTCAGGCAGGGGAGGGGGGATAGAGACAAGTAAAGAGAGTGCAAGAGGAGAAGCAAACTTGGGGAGCAAAGTCTGTGCAGAGCAGGGAGTTTCTTTAAAAAAGAAAAAGGAAAAAAGGAGCCATCAGTGGAGAAAGGATATCAGAGGAAAGAGGCATCAGAGGAAGCCCCCTCCCGTCGCCCCCCCCCCCAAACACATACACACAAGCGCGCGCGCGCGCGCGCGGCAGGCAGCGAGCCTGGCAGGCGGCAGCTACCTGGGCTCCCGGAGCCGGGCATCCCGTGGCAGGAGGGAGCGCCGCCCGGCCAGGACGCGGGACGCGGGATGCGGCTGGCCGGCGAGGCGTGCACGTCTGTCCGGGCTACCTCGCTCGCTCCTTCGCATCGCCTCCTCCCCCCGGCCCCGCTCCCCCTTGCCTTTCTCACGGCTCCCAGCTGCTCCCCGCTCGCCGGTGCAGACGAGCCACTCATCAGGGCTCCGCAGCATCCCCCAGTCCTGAGGAGATGAACTGGAGGAGAGGGGAGGAGGCGGCGGATGGGAAAGGGGGTGGGGGGAGCCGGAGCTCCTGAAACTGAACCAGCCCAAATGGG